TTCTTAAGACCTCCTCACCATCAGAAACAACTATGAACTGAGCTAGTTCACATTTACCATAATTGTATACAGTATTTGAGTACTGCATCCCTAAATATTTATAACATCAGTAGTACAATTCTACAGAAAGGTTAATGGTGCATAATCCACATACAGTGGTCCATAGAAAGTCGAATCTAGACTGCCACATAGTTACAGTGTTTATGCAGGAAATTTTAAATATATAACATTTACAATTGGCTTTTATTTAGGGTTTCATTGGAACTCATTGCCATGTATATAAATCATAATATTCTGTTCCTAAATATTATATAGCAAGTGAACTAACACAAAATATTTAACTGTACTTGGTTAATAACCCAAAAGATATGGGCTATGATCCCAAGAGTTAGTGTAGTTGAGGATTTTATTAATTTTTCACTGAATGCAGGCTCACAATGGTACGTCATAATGCTTTTGGATGTCCCTTTTCTCAAAGGGTATTCTGAAGGGATTTTTTTCAAGTAACATAATTCTTAAAAAAACATAAATTCTGAAACTCCCTTCAGTCTATGAAACTATTTGCATAGTTCCCTGAGTGAAAGCTATGGATTTTGCTGCCTTTCTGTCCAATACATAAGATTATTCATTTGTTCAAATCAAAGACCAAAAGGAATTTTATCTGGAAGATTACATCATTTATATCATAACATATGATATAAATTGTACAATGCTAATAACACTGATCTATAGTAACAAGCTTCTACTAGACATCGTACTGATCACTAACTGTGAAATGTATTAACATATTAACTTATATATGCATTGTGGAGCTAATATCTCCCTCTTCAGACCAAAATGGAAGCATCTGCTGTATGCCATGTCTGATGGAATAATAGAATTCTATGCTGAAGGATGTTGTCTTTTAAAACTACTTTCTACATTATGATTTTGAATTAACCCAATGATATTTTCATATAATAGTTTACAGCAATCAAAGCTGAAATACAACTGTAATACTGCTCTAAAACTTACGAAGTTTTTCCTGATAGCCTAAATCCGGCTTCCTGTAGATTGAACCCATCATTACATGTCCTGTACTCTAGGATGATTGAAAACAGATCCTGCCCCTCCTCTCTATGATTACCTTTCAAATATTAGAAAATGCTATCGTATCTCCCGTCAGACTTCTTTTCCCAAGGCTAAACTTGCCCAGTTCTTTCAGTCTTTCCTCACAGGACTTGATTTTCAGTCCCCTGATCATTCTTGCCATCCTCCTCTGATCTAGCTCCAGTCTGTTGGAATCTTTCTTAAAATATGGTGCCCAGAACTGGACACAGTCTTCTAGATGAGGCCTAACCTGTGCTGAACAGAGGGAGACTAGTACTTCATGGGATTTGGAAACTATACCTCCATTAATGCATCCTAAAATAGCATCTACTTTTTTTGCAGCCACATAGCACTGTTGGCTCATATTCAGCTTTTGATGTACGACAATTCCAAAATCCTTCTCACTTCTTGTATTACTGAACCAGGTATTTCCTATCTTGTAACTGTGCATTTGAGCTCCCCCCACCCCAGGTATAGAACTTTGCACTTATCCCTGTTAAATTTAATTCTGTTGTTTTCAGCCCAGTACTCAAGCCTATTAAGATCTTTTGACATTTATTCCTTTCTTCCAAGGTATTAGCAATTTCACCCAATTTTGTGTTACCCTCTAATTTGATCAGTATTTCCTGTACTTTCTCATCCAAGTCATTAATACAAATACTGAAGAGCACCAGGCACAGGACTGGGCCTTGTAGTACCCCACTTGTTACCTTCTCCTTGTCTGAGAAGGAGCCACTGATAAACACTCTCTGAGTATGAAGACCGGCTTGACGCCACAACGAGATGGCAGCAGGAGGACAGGGCTCTGTCCTCTGGGCTGAATTCTGACCTGTTTGGGACACTCCAGGGTGTCGAAACCACCCCGAAGAGTAGTGAACTGGGGGGGGAAGCCTGTTGATCATGGGGGGGGGAACAGCGGTCATCCCTGTTTGATCCAGGAAACTCCCCAATCAGCCAACGGGCAGAAACAAGCAGCTAGGATGCTTGCTTGCAAGTCGTCGGCAGCCGGCAATAAGAGAAGCAACAATCAGCTATTCAACATCAGTGTTATTATCGGGTGAGATATATTTTTAGAGCTAATTGCTTATGACTACCCCTGGAGAAGACAATTCCTATATACAGAAAAAAGAATCTTCTATCAATCTCATCATTCATAGAGCGGCAGAAAATCTGGAGAGAGGGATAGTTGATGCAAAGAAAACAATTTAAAGATTAATGGGACATTAACTACTAATTTAAATACATTTAAAATATATTTTAAGAATATTATAATTTGGTGTTATAAATCTTAAGAAACTTTCTCATAAGCTATTACTAGTGAAGTCTGGAGATCTCATGTTTTGGCTACTTGAAATCTTTTGGCATAATGCCCAGAGCAGTGACCTTGAGCACTCTACCGCTGTTTAAAGCTTGGAAACCTGTTTTTTATTTCCTTTTGATTTTTTCATGCCTGGCTAGAATATAGACAAATTAACCCTAAAGTGGACCTTTTTAAACTGTACTTTGGGAGTCAGTATATTGGGCCAAAGTGAACTTTTTGGAACCACCTCCAGGGACTTGGAATTTCAGTTTTGACCGATGCAGAATTGCGGGAACTAGGCTACCAGGACATGGATACAAACACTGAATTGGACTGTGAAATTTGGGGGTTTTGAACCTCGGTTCAGGCCTATTTGGCCAAAGTAGATCCTCTGAAACTGCCCCAGGAGCTGGAAGTGTTTGTGTTTGACTAGCTGGCGTAAACCTGTGGGAATTAGGCCATCAGGCCACAGATACAACCATTGCATTACCTTGGTACTTTGGGGGTTTAAATTTTGGTTCAGGTCTATTTAGCCAAAGCAGACTCTTTGAACTGACTCTGGAGACTTGGAATATCTGTTTGGCTGGCATCAATTTGCCAGGGATCAGTTAGGACACAGATACAATAATTGAATTGGACTGTGAGACTTGGGGGCTTCGAATCTTGGCTTAAGCTCTTGGGCGGCTGGAACAGAATGGCACAACAAGGACAATTTTG